ACGGATAAATCGGCAGATTGACGCGGATAAATCGGCACAGGCTGTTAGAGATAAATATTTCTGTGGCCGATAGGACCCCATAAGACCGGCGTACCCATATGAGGGCTCTGAGAACGCAGACTTGGATTGTTGATTTCAACTGCACGATCTCAAGGCGGGATTGTCCAAAATGAAGCGAGGAACAGCGCCAGGTTGGGATCGAGTGATGGTTAAGCTTTTAGCAAACCTACCAGACCTGGCATGCCTTCGCCTCCTCGACTACTTCGATCGAATTTGGGAGGGGTGCGAACTGCTCCCAATTGATTGTAAACGGCCCAGGTAACTTTTATTTCCAAACCGGGCAAGTCAATAAATATCGAAAATCTCCGACCCATTTCATTAACCTCGTGTGTAGGGAAGCTTATGGAAACAATGGTCAAGGATAGGCTTTCCGATTACCTCGACGCCCGTCAAACCTTTGCCGACACTATGTACGGCTTCCGTCCACATCGCTCTGCTCAAGACATTCTCCTGAAACTCTACCATGACGTTATTGAGCCAGTAGAACATCCCAGTAACGACAAGGTAGTCCTCGCCTTGGATCTAAAGGGAGCTTTTGATAACGTTAACCATGAAATAATTTTTAGCCATCTGTCCCGAACACACTGTGGGCATAATGCTTTCAGGTACACCCGTCAGTTATTGATGGAACGGCAGACGTACCTCCACATTCAACGAAAGGAGCACGGTCCGCATTCTCTAGGTATTCGAAAAACACCACAGGGAGCAGTCCTCTCTCCCCTTCTGTTCAATCTCGCCATGGCTGATCTCCCCCCACTGCTGAAAGATATCCCCAGAGTACGGCAAGCTCTGTATGCCGACGATATCACGCTGTGGGCAACACACGGTTTTCTTGGCAGCATTGAGCCCAGCCTGCAGCAAGCAGCGTTGGTCGTGTAATACTACGCCCATCTCTGCGGCCTCGAATGCTCCCCCACGAAATCGCAGTACGTCCATCTTCGCCCTAAATCAAACGACACAACTCAAATCGTACTTTCCCTGCGCACCGAGTCTATCCCGGCACGCGAAGAAATCCGCGTCTTAGCGCTTTTTTATACACAAGAGCCGGAAAGTCGATACCACCCTGCGCAAATTACGTGTGGTCGGAGATCAGGTGGGCCGCATGGTCCAGCGAGTCTCGAACAAGCGACGGAGTCTCAGATGTCGCAATGTTCTACGCCTCGCCAACGCTTTTGTGACCAGTCGAATTGTTTATTCGACACCCTACCTACGTTTGCGCAAATGCGATGAGAACACGCTGGACAGCATTCTCCGAAAAATATACAAGCGCACCCTGGACCTCCCAATCACGACGTCTAACCAGCGTCTTTCGGAGCTGGGCATGGCCAACACGTACGGGGAACTCAAACAGGCTCATCTCAACAACCAGTACCTGCTACTTACCAAGTCGCACGCTGGGAGATGTCTCTTACGTCGCCTTCATATCTTTTACACCTACAATGCAGAGGAGCGGAACTAGATCCCAGGGGACTGGCGTAGAGCGTTAGTTATCCAGCCTCTGCCCCAAAACGTGGCTAGAAAGACACACGAAGGCAGGCGAACTGCGTGGGTTACAGCTTTGGAGGGACGTTATGGGTCCCGTCTTGGAGTCTTCTATACGGACGCGTCCGACCCTCACCATGGTGGGTAGTACACGCGGCCGTAGTCCATCAAAATGTGTCTGCCCAAAAGCTCACATTTCAAGCCACAGACATCACTCATGCGGAGGAAGTTGCCATAGATCTAGCCGCAGTGGACCCCGCATCTCGGTTTATTATTACCGATTAGCGGAGCGCGTGTCAGAAGCTTGCTAAAGGTCGTATCACCGTTCGTGCTGCTCGAATCGGTAAGCGCGGAGATTACATGGACCGCACGAATACACGTTTCGTCATCTGGAGTCCCGCTCAAGCAGAACCAGGTGGTAACGAGGCTGCCGATGCCTCGGCCCACGTGCTTGATTTCCTGGACCCACCTCGCCCTTCATCGCCTGATGATCCAGAACCTAATCCGGTAACCTCCTTCCGTGAAATTTCAGCGATGTACAAATCGAACAGGCTCTGATTTCCGCCCCCAGCGCCGGGCCTGAATAAGGCTGATGAGCGCTGGCTCTTGCGCCTTTACACCAACACAGTATTGTGCCCAGCTATACTTAAGCACTTCCATCCGGCCTTCTCCGGGGAATGCCCGCACTGTGCCCTTCCACTTGAGGATACTTTTCACAAGGTGTTGGCATGCCCTTCTATCTCGGCGGTCTCCCCAATCACTTCCCCTACACCCTTTACCTGAGAGAGCTGGGAGGCTGTCCTGCTCGGCTGCTCGACCTTGGCGGGCCAAAGAGCCCTCGTGGCCAGGGCGTGTGCCGCCGCAGAAGCCACAGGGGTCCCGGACTAGGGACTCCTCCTAGAGCTTGTAAAGGGTCGGCCCTCAAGGTCGTCCCTCCCTCTCAAATGTAAATAGTTTCAGTAAATGTTTTTCGCCACCACCACCCCAATTTGAAGTGTAACGACAGCCACGAAAAGGCTTCAGCCATGACCCTGCCAGAGAGTGGGAACATTCCCGCTCATCTGCGAAGGAGTGCATGGACTGGCAAAGCAAGATCTTGCCTACACGCATGGTGTCGAAGGACCTCCCCAGCGAGCCTACATTTCCTGGTGTATCCAGCAGGGCAGGCTTACAAGCCGCTAGTGTTCAAAGCGATTCTTTAGGGGCAAAGCTCCTATTATTCCAAACGCGCAATCCAGTACATTAGGTTGTGCAGCGCGAGCAGTCGCTTGTTACCAGCAGACGCTGCCTTCGTCAGCCCTGCGAGGTTAGAGAGGGGAAGGGGGGAGCGACAGTTGGCACGAGACGCGAGCGTGCGCTGTGGTGGAGTAGATGACACCAACGACGCCGGATTTGCGAGTAGATGCGACTATAAATGCTCCACATTTCAAAAACAACTGCTCGCACTACACAACCGTTCACTGGTCACCCCGTATATGTAGGCACTGAGTCGCACGTTCGGAATTCAGCCAAAGGCGTCTGCACTTGCCTTTCACTTGATGAGTGCCAGCGTAATTGTGGCCGCTAGTGTAACCGTTAGCGCCCGCTGCTTCGATATACCCATGGTTTTCTTCAGGAGGAGATAGTGCAAGTTTTTTTTAGGGGCGAAGCCCTTTAAAGCGGCACCCGTTCGTTCCTCGTAGTCGTAGTCATAGTGTGTAACAAGTGTTACATTTGACCTGCAAGGTGACGCCGGTGGGAGATTTCTTCTGCGCTATGTTGAACACTAAAAAGTTCGTGGCGTGCGCGTTAACCAAAATCCGAATGCTCCTGTCTTGCATTCCCCATTAGCAGCCATTGGCATGTTCCAGTAGGAAACGTTAGCAGAAGTAGAAGTCCTAAAAGCCGACTTTTGCTGTCTCTCATTTCCAGTAGCAGCCATTGTTTACCTCCAAGGTAGTGCCGGGTGAGATTTCACCTGTGCGTGATTAAACAATAAAAAAATTTTGTTCAAAACACCGTTGATTGATGAAATAAACCAACGAAAGACGCTAGATGTTTTCTAAAAGCAAAACGAAAAGACGCCAGATGTTTCTAAAGCAAAACAAAAAGAAGACGCCAGCTGCCTAATGAAAGACGCCAAGTGTTTTCTAAAGCACTGGTTTTATAATCAAAACCATATTGATACAGGTTTGTAGTTGCCGATGCTCGTTGCCGTTGGTGTGTGCTCGTATGGATAAGGATGCCGAAAGGCGGGCGCGCAGGGCAGCGGCGGCGCGCGCTCGCAGACAAGACCCTGACGTGAGAGCGCGTGAGACAGAAGCGCACCGAGAAGCTGCGAGACGTCGCCACCAAGGTCCAGCTGTACGGGAACAAGAAGCCACATCAGCAAGGCAGCGTCTGCAAGATCACGCCGTACGTGAACAAGAAGCTGCAGTGGCACGTCAGCGTCGGCAAGATCCTGCTGTACGGGAACATGAAGCCACATCAACAAGGCAGCGTCTGCGAGATCCGGCCGTACGTGAACAAGAAGCTGCAGCAGCTACCCGCTTTGTTACCTACATAACTTCATCATTTATTCTTAAGATCAGGAAAAATATATGTTGCATTCGTTTCTATTAAAGACGATAGTATTTCTTGAATACCTTCGACGCAAATATTTAGTCTATCTGTCTGTCTGTCTGTCTGTCTGTCTGTCTGTCTGTCTGTCTGTCTGTCTGTCTGTCTGTCTGTGTGTCTGTCCATTTGTGTGTTTGTTCGCCCTAACGGTACGCATAACGGCACCAAAGTGACCAAACGATACTCCAAACGGCCGACCCCATCCGCAGCGCTCACTAATATTGCTCAATGTACAGCGTTCATACTTGCGCAATTGTCAATATAAAAACAATTATTGCGCATATTTGATTCACTATAACAACACGTCAATATTATGAATGTGTATTTTTCATTAGAAAAGGCATACATGCGTAATTCTAAGGACCATAGCGTTTATCACGCTGCGCTGGCAATGCAATGCTTGCACGAAAAGGCAAGTGTTTCTAACGCTTTGCTAAGACGACATGGTGGTGGTACCCACCCCTTACCTTGCGCTCTACACCTTATCACCTCAGAAACAGGCGCGCACGCCACGTGCTTCGTTTTCCAGAATAACTGCCAGATAGCGCTCATGTTTCACGTGCGACGGGACTTGATGGGCTCGTTCGCCTCCGCTGCACGCTCCAGGCACTCTAACGCAGCGCCTCCAGAATACCACTCACCGATTTTCTTGCACAAAACCGCAAAAAAAAAAAACGATTCGTTCACTCTCTCCGGACGCAAGACTATCGTCTTTCGACGACATTTGCAGTGTAAAATGCAGATATAGGGCCATTTTTTTTTCTTTTTAAGTGCCACCTCTGACAATTTCGTTAGCCTAAACTCTAGCGTAACAGTTTCAGCAGCTTCAGTGACCCGTTTCCTCGGCCATTCTCCCCCAGATCTACATCCGACATGGCCACACGCTGCCAGTCGCACCTCTGGATTGGTCACCTTCAAAGGATGATTTATTTCTCACTCGTATTCGCCAGTGCTGCGCAGCCCTCTGATGCGGACACTCGTAAATCACGGCCCCACATTGTGTTCATCTTGGCCGACGACCTGGTACGTAAAAGGGCGGCGTACGCTGGACGGATGCACGTGCTAAAATATAATTGTGTTTACATACTTTTTCATGAATATTCGTCTCCGCAAGGTAGTTCCAATATTACTAATATAATGGAATTATCCTGAATCGTGAGATCTCCGCCTTTTATGACCTTGCCGCGAAATGAAGACTTTTATGCCACCAAACAGTATCCAACTTTCTTTAATGTTGTCAAAACTGCGAGGCTGCTGAGGCAAGTCGTAAACGTGCGGCCCAACAAAAAACTATTATCATAACTATTATCATAAACGGGCCTCATAAATTTGTTGAATCCCACTACTCGTAACTGGTCCCTTAAAAGTGGAAAAGGCAACTATCGGCCCAACATATGGTGTCTATGGTGGCTGTCACTGCATAGGTGTCTTCTCGCGGCAGCGAGAAGACACCTATGCAGTGACAGCCAACAACTATGTGCCCGCAGATCTATAAGAGGCTCGAACGCTTCGTTTCAGCACGTGTTTTTGTCTATGGAGTTTCAGCATTCGTGTCGTGTCTGTCACTGTCTGTCGTTGAACGTGAGCATCCCTGCGTGAATAATCAACGTAATGTCACTCAGTTAAAACCGAGAAACAACCTAGAAGCAACAAGATTATTTTCTAGAATCGTTCAATGTTGCTGTTACCAGACTTCCCCTACTTAGTGCGAACTTAGCCTTCTGAGTTATGACACTTGCGCCTAGAGGCATCGCGTTTTTCGATATGTACAGATGGGTGAGTCGACGCGCCAAGACATGGACGAAGCATCGCACACAAGACCCCTTTACAAACAAACAAACAGGACGCGCACACAAGCACTCGTGTGTGCGCACTCTCTATGCGTGAGAGAACGTCCGTTTGGTCCACTGCTTCGTCAATGGCGTGCCTCTTAAAGATCTCACCAGAATTCACCCCCAGCCAATTAATATTTGAGCACTGGCTCGAATGTTATCCACCTTGATAAAAAGACAAACTTCATATAAAAGGGTGTAGAGGTTGAAGTAAAGTAAAGAGTTTTCAACTCTTTAAAATAAAAATCAACTAAATTACTTCATTGAAAGAGCGTAATCTTGTTTAGATGTGTCATCAACAACGTATGCAATATAGAACAGTCTTTTTCCACTCATCACTTTACCAACTGAATGGAACAAAGGTAAACTAGCTGCTTCTAGTAGATTCTAAATATGCGAGCTATAGGAAAGTCACCGACGAAAAGTTCTCCTTAAGTCTGCTTAAGTGAGCCAATGCTCACCAAACGCCGGGTGCTGGCGCCCAGTTATAGAACATTGGTTGATACATTGGTCGCCTAAAGTTTCTTTTGAAACATACAGTACGGTGCTATGTTTTTAGCCTACGCCTGATTGGGATTGTATTCAACGCATAGCAAACGATAGGCCCCGCCGTAGTGGTCTAGTGGCTAAGGTACTCGGCTGATGACCCGCAGATCGTGGGATCCAATCTCAGCTGCAATGGCTGCAATATCGATGGATGCTTAAATGCTGTAGACACGCGTGCGCAGATTTGGGTGCACGTTAAAGAACCCCAGGTAGTCGAAATTTCCTGAGCCCTCCACTACGGCGGCTCTCATAATCATATGGTGGTTATGGGACGTTAAACCTCATATATCGTCATAATTGCAAACGATAGTATGTCGCAGCAGACTTGTTTTTGTTACGCTATCGTATTTTTCTAATCAACACTCAATCGAAGTTCCAGAGCTAAGGAGGCTAAGTTTGAACACTGCAGACCTGCAACAATAGAAGCTGGCCGGCCGTGGGATGGAAATGTTTCATCGACGTCACCTGCGTGGCCGCCAGACTTGACAATATGAATTCGTTAACGTGATAATCGTGTATTTTTCGGACAATACGCAAGAAATGGAGTGAACCGAGGGCCCAATTATTAGAACAGGAATATTCACCAAGCCAAAATGCGAAGTAAGTTAACACTTCCCAGAAACAGAGCTGGTGTAAAGTCTACTCTTGGAGATACATTTCACATTCAACACAAAGTCTACTCTTGGAAATACATCTCACATTTAACATCACCCTCATAACTAAAGCCATTAAAAATCACAGCTTTGCCGCAAAGGCAAAACAATGTATGCGATAGCAACAAATTAGAATGTCACGCGAAGAATGTCAAGGAGATTGAAGCGTGCCCCGCGTTGCTCGCACACAAATGGAGCAAGATACATATACACAGGTACAGATGAACGCGAACAATTATCCCAGTTTTTCCTTCACACTCTTTCCGCAAACGAAGACTGTGCAGTGAGTGTAGTGACCTTTGTGTGCCTGGTAACTACAACCTAATCGACCCGCCGAAAGCCTAAGGCATGTGATTCTCCCCCACCGCGAGATTAACGCACACACGCATGATTGTCTGCCCCCTCCGTGTTGCAAGTACGTGTGGAAGGTGAACGCACCAGCACACGTCGCCGCGTCATGACGATCTGGCCACGCGCGCCCATTGCGCCATCTCGCTGCTAGTGCTTAATGCTGAAAACACGAAAGTTCCTCTTAAATCACCAGTGCCAGCGGTAAGTGGGTAATATAAAAAGCTTGCCGTTTCAACGTTGAACGTGCTCGTTCGTGGTTAAGCGGCTAACGCCACGCACTCGCAACGCATAGTTCAGACGGTTTATTCCGTGCGCTTATTATTTTTTGCAATTATTTTTACGATTATTACGATTATTTTTCTCTTACGTTTTCATACATATAGAAAAACGTATATATAAACGGTGAATAACGTTGGTCAGTGACGCTGGCAGGAAAATCTAGCTAGGAGACACGAAACAATGCCAATAAAATTGCTATAGCAATAAAATGTTCGAATTAAATAAGCTTCCGAAACTCCAGAACGATACAACATGTACGTTTTCAGTTAAAACATATTCAAAGTAAACAAGTTATTTGTAGCTTTCAGGCCCCACACGTCTGATGGTGATTTTTTTTTTGTATTTTAGCGTTGCTTTGTATGAGCCGTTTGGTTAAGTCCAATCATTTCGGCAATATTTGGTTTAAAATACTACAAACAAGCAATGGTTTTGATTGAAGCGAGGTTTCTAGCTGGTGCTAGTTTGATCAAACAAACACTTCTCTAAGTTGCCGTTATCCACTTTTTTCTAAGATAAGGTCAATGTTGTAGGAATCGTGCAAAACCTAAATTGAGATTTTTAAACTAAAGCATTTAAAACAGTAAAGCCATGATGGGTAACATCATCACGTCGTTAGTTACGCAGGCCATGTGAGCGTTTAAGCCATGCGCCTGAACGTATATATATATATATATATATATATATATATATATATATATATATATATATATATATATATATATATATATATATCTTGTAATATGGCGTCAAGTACACTCAAGACTCTCCTTTATTGACTCAAGTGTGTGCCCCACAATCTAAACTTGACTGGTGATGATGAATGTGTACAGATGCAGAGCTAGTGCGTAGAGGAGAGGTCTCCGCGTATCGTGTGAGGTGGTCGACGGCTGTGACGATCCAGTGGTGGCCCGCTAGTGTTACGGGAAGTGGTCCGACGAGGTCCATTCCGACAACGGCAAAAGGCGTATCGGGACATGGAATGGGTTGTAAAAAGCCAGCAGGAGCTGAAGTTGGTCGTTTCCGGCGTTGACAAAGTGTGCATGAAGCGACATAATTAGCGACAAAGGTAGAAAGACCAGGCCAGACGAAACGCCTCCTAACGCGGTTGTAGGTCTTATGAAATCCTAAGTGTCCAGCTGATGGGTCGTCGTGCAATGCTTCGAGGACTTGTTTTCGCAGCGAACGGGGAAGTACTCGCACCCACCGATGCCCATCCGCATTGTGAGTATAGTGCTGCAGGACATTGTTCTCTAGCTTGAACAGCCGTAGCTGACGACGTAGTCTGGCATTAGGTGGAGAAGGCGAGCCATTCAAGTATCCGAGGATGCAGTTACAGTAAGGGTCGTCACGTTGGTACGCGGCAAATTGGGCGCTGCTGTTTAAAGACAGTGACCCAGCAACTGCCAGCGGTGATAACGTGAGTGAAGAGGAAGCCGCTTGATCACCTGAGGGGCATTCAGGATGCGTGGTTGGAGATTAAAATGGCAAAGGGCAGCGAGAGAGAGCGTCAGCATCCTGATGCTGTTTGCCGGACCTGTACACACCATCAAAAGTGTACTCTTACAAACGCAGTATCCAGCGACCGAGGCGCCCAGACAAATTCTTCAGCGAGGACAACCAGCATAGGCCATGGTGGTCGGTAACCACAGTGAAGTGGCGTCCATACAGATAAGGTCAAAATTTCTGGATGGCGCAAACGACAGCGAGACATCCCTGCTCTGTTATCGAGTAGTTCTGCTCCACAGTTGTTAGTGCGCGGCTGGCTTACGCAACTACTCTCTCACGTGAAGTGTCGTTGCGCTGGAGGACAGCACCGATTCCGTGGCCGCTAGCATCTGTGTACAGGAAAGTGGGTGCACTCTCATCGAAGTGACGGAGGACGGGGTCTGATGTCAAAGCTCGATTAAGGGCTTGGAAAGCACACTCGCACTCGCCAGTCCACGTGAAATTCGTTCCTGATGTCAGAAGCTTGTGTAATGGCACGAAATGGCAGAAAAGTGACGGATGAAGTGGTGGAAGTAAGACGCCAGGCCCACGAAACTTCGCAATTGTTTTTGCTTGCCCGGACGTGGAAAACTAATTACGGCAGCAACCTTGTCGGAGTCGGGTCGAACGCCGTCTTTGCTGACAAGGTGACCCAATACTTTGATGCTTGTGCTGGCGAAGTGGCACTTTTTTGTATTGAGCTGTAGGCCGGCGTTCGAAATGCACGTTAGACCTTCGTCCAAATGCTTAAGGTGCTGAGGAAAAGTAGAAGAATAAATGACGATGTCGTCTAAATATTATAAAACAGGTTTTCCATTTGAGACCACGCAAGACAGTATCTATCATGCAGTCGAATGTTGCTGGAGCGTTGCATAAG